CTCCCGGCTTGAGGGCCGCCTGGCGGGCTTTTGCTGCGGGGCCGGCGCGGCTTTTTTTGAAGCTTCCCAGCGCTAAGCCCTGGCATCTCCTGGTAGCCCCTCACCCAGGGACAAGCGGACCATTTCCTGGTAGTCCCCTGGGCGGCGGGTGGCCCCCCATTATCAGTGGGCGGCGGGCGGAGCCCTTTGCTCGGGCTGCCCCCGCCCTGCCTCGCGGTCCTCGCGCAGGAGGGCGCTTGGTTTACGTGGATGCAGCTCTGGGGCCCGTTGTTGCAGCGCAAGGCCAGCTGCATCTTAGTGCTCGTGCACAGGTTTCCTCTGCTCTTTGCAGGTTGTGCATCCGTCCCTCCCCCAGGAACGGACGGCCCAGCTGACCCCCCGGAGACAGTCGCCCGGGTTCCTCTGCTTACCTGTTTCTGTCCTCCCTCCCGTTCTGTAGATGGTCTTTGCCCAGCACGATGGGGGACAGCGATGATGAATACGATCGCAGGCGCAGGGACAAATTCCGACGTGAGAGGAGCGACTACGATCGCTCTCGAGAGCGTGATGACAGGCGCCGAGATGACTGGAGTGACAGGTGTGCCCTGGGGAGTACGGGTAGTCCTCACTTAACGACCACAATAAGGGCAGGAAAATTGGTTGTCAAGCAGGGCAGTTGTTAAGTGAGTCACCATGTGACCGGACCTGATTTTACGACCATTTATTTGGTCGTTAAGGAAATCCAGCTTCCCCGTGCCGGAATTCACTTAACAACCGTGTGATTCACTTAATGACTGTTGTAATCACCTGACCATGGGGGTGGTGCAACAATTTGCAACAATCATAAGTGCATGTACAGGTCGTAAAGCACTTTTTCCGAGGCCGTTGTAACTTTGAACCATCGTTAAACAAATGGTCATTGAGCGAGGACTATCTGTAGAGAAAAAGACAGGCAACAGACTGAAAGCTGTTCTTTGCCTTTCGGGTCATTGGATAATCTTGAAATAGTTTTGGTCTTCAGTCTGGAAAGTAGTAGGAATGTTTCTGGGGTTTGCTAGTAAACAGTTCTGCATAAAGTAATGCGCTGACGCTTTTGTGCATAAGTATTGGAGAATTGAAATCGGTTGAGTTTGAATGCTCCTCACATAAATAAATGAATAAAGTTATCTCTGTTCTGCGTGTTGCCAAAAGGGGTATTAGCAGGAGTGTTGCTCCCTAATTCATAACCTGTTGTGTTTGTCCAGATTGGGGGCGTTGAGGATCTTCCCCCAATTTGGGAAGGGGAGCTAGAAAACAGGGTTTGTCTGTCTGTGCTATAGCTCTGGAAATGTGAATGGCTTTTAGAAAGCGAATCAAAACAAACTCTTTCGGAAGGGCATTCGATTTCTGAAGTTGCTGAGGATGGCCACCTCCGGGAGTTATTTTCTTATAATTGCAGGGAATGTTTTTATGTCATTTTTATGGTTTTAAGGCTTCTGCATGTATCAGGCTAGAAGGAATCCAGCGGAATTAGCAGGATACAAATACTGAAATAAATCTATTTCTTCCCCTAGGGAGTGGGACCGAGGCCGAGAACGCCGGAGCCGAGGTGAATACCGTGATTATGACCGGAGCAGGCGGGAGCGGTTCTCCCCCCCTCGTCACGAGCTGAGTCCGCCACAGAAACGCATGAGACGCGATTGGTGGGTTCTCTCGCTGCGTCTTCTTGTGCTATTTTGTGTTGGGCGGGTTTTGGGTTCTGGCTCCCCGCAGGAACTGTACCAAGGAGCTGAGCGTCGGCTCTGTAGGCTTAGTCGGTTGCGAGCATCACACCTCTGAATAGGGAGGTGCTTTCTGAGGATGCTAGAAAGGATTAAGGTGGGTTTTATTTTTGCTTTTCCAGGGATGAGCACACGGCAGATCCCTATCACACTGGCTATGAGATGCCTTACAGCGGGGTCTCCACTGGTCCATCGTACGGGCCTCCGCAGCCTTGGGCACACCCCGAGATGCACGTGACGCAGCATCACATCCTCCCCATCCAAGCCAGGTAAGCAGATTCTTGGAGCCCTTCTCTGCCCGCTTCTTCTTTTGCTAAAACAGTCTCTTTGCTGTTTCTGGGGCACTGAAGGCAGTTCAAAATAGGAAAGTTGCGTACCCCTTCTTATCCGGAGTCCATATCCGCAAGCTGAGAACTCTGCGGTCATGGATGCTTTAAGGATGTTCTTGAGAGCCAGAGGAGGCAGTTTGATTGCCAAATCCGGTTGTCTTATTTTAAGGCCGGTCGGCTGCCGGAGGTAGTTACCTAAGATAGTAACCCTTGCTCATCTGCTGGATTCTTCTGAAAGAAAACGAGGAGGCACCAAAAATGATCTTTGAGAAAGGGAATTCTCCAAAAGACGGGGCAACCACTGAAAAGCTTCTATGCCTTAGAGTCTGCAGCTGAACTCTTCCTTTTGCAGTTTCGGTTTTCCTATTGAGTATTTAGAGCTCCCTTTTCAGTTTTATTGCTCTTGCGTCAGGGCTTGGCTGGAGAGGTTCTAGCACCAAATGAGGAAGACGGTTCTTTGGGGGTTCGATTCTTGTTGCTTTTAAATAGCATTTGACCTTGCATTTTTAGTTGTACGTTTTGGGTAATTTTTTTAGTTTAAGCGAGATATAGATACATAAGTACAACGGCTTTTTAGATACTGTTTCAATTTTCCTAAACATTACGTTTTTCTTGCTTGGGAGTTTTTAACCATCGCTCTATCGTAATGTGTTTGTTCTTAATTGCTTGTGAATTCTTCGTTTGGGTACCGTCAGGGTGAATCTCGACGTATAAAACAACTGAAAGAAGGTGGTTGTTCCAAGCTAAGTTCCTGCTCTTCTTCCTCCAGGCTGGGGAATATTGCGGAAGTGGACTTGGGTATTGCTCCCCCCGTCATGAAGAGCTTTAAGGAGTTCCTCCTCTCCTTGGATGACTCCGTTGACGAGACGGAAGCCGTGAAGCGCTACAACGACTACAAGCTAGACTTCCGTCGCCAGCAGATGCAGGACTTCTTCCTAGCCCACAAGGATGAAGAGTGGTACGTCTCTCGTGGGCTGGGCTGCCCACCTTGGAGAGGAGGCTGGGGGGGAGGCTGGGATTTTCCCAGGCACCTGTGGCTTGCTGCAGACGATAAACCAAACACGGAGCCTTTCAGGCAAAACGAATCAGGCGTTGGTCGCTTCTGGTTTTAGACACGGAGAGTTGCTAGTTCTCTAAGCAGGTGGGGCCGTTTAGGGTTATTTGCTGATTTGTTTACTGGGGTTCAGTGCCATGCCAGTCGTAACTGGCTCTGAGCAGCAAACGTACCCAGGTAATTGGGTTAAAAGCAACACGTGTAAGAAATGCATACGCATGTAACAAGCATCACCGACAACCGGTCCCGTTCAGTACTCCCCCCACTGACAGCATCTCATACTGCAAAGGATCGCCTGAAAAGGCAGGCCTTAAGCTGCTTGTTGGAAACTCAGGAGAGGAGAGGCCTTTCTAGGCACTTGGGTCCTCAGATGATGCATTTGGTATATAAAGACCAGCAAAGTTAGCAACCAGTGCATGGCGAGTTTCCCTCTTTATGGAAGAGAGACGTTTTTCTCTCTGGTAGCTTGGGAGTTGTGATCTGAAATGTCCTTGCAAGCTGAAGAAGATCTACCCTGAACGGAAAGACTTGCATTAGAGTGCACATCCACACTAACCAATTTACGCGGTGAAAGATAGGCCCTCGGCCCTTGGTCAGCGTGGGCGTTTTCTTATAAAGGCAGCGATGGAAACTGGCCAATTAAAGTCAGTGAATCAGTAAGTTGTAAACGTTCAGGGCGCTCCCCTGAATCTCATCCAGAAACTCCCTCGCTGCCAGGGCTGGGTTGGAGGGAAACAGCTGCTTGCCCACCAGAGGCCCTGCCAAGCGCCACCTGCTGGCCAAGCGAACCCAGCCAGTTTGGATCTCCGCTTCCTGTCCATCGTCTGCCCAGCTGGGAATAGTTTTTCACATCCAGGCTGAGTTAGCCACGTTTAACTTAACTCTTGAATTCTGTACTTTTTTGCAGCGCCAAACCTGCCTGTATCTATTGAGTAGCAAGTGCTCCTGAATTTAGCTCACCTTACTTCCATGCAGCTTTGGAATGTCTCTTAGGCCAACCTCTTAAGGCTGCCAGTATATACGCATTTTAAAGTTGTTTTTTGGCAACCAGGAGAACTGGGGAAGACAAAACCCAATGGATGAGCGGGCCGGGGGGCTTTGGGTGCCTTCGAGTCAGTGTTAACTCTCCTGGCAAATAGCCCCTGCAGTTTTCTTGGCAAGATTTCAGAAGTGGCTTGCCATTGCCTGCTTCCTAGGGCTGAGAGGGAGTGACCGGCCCAAGGCCACCCAGCCGGCTTTGTGCCTAAGGCAGGACTAGAACTCGGGTCTCCCAGTTTCTAGCCTGGTGCCTTAGTCACGACACCAAACCGGCTTGATAGATAAGGTGGCCCACCATTCTATCTTGTTTACCATTTCTGTACGTTCTGCCTCCGTGTCCACGTAGCAGTGAGAATAACAGATGACCCTTCACAGAAAAAGCTTAAAGGTGGCACCGGGAATTCTGTACAACGGCGTATTCATAGCTGGGGAAAAACAGGCGGAATTGTTAACTAGGATAGCCTTGTATGGCTTCTCAGCCTTAGTCCCCCAGGGGAAGGGAGGCCTGAGAATGAGAACCACAGGAACTCCGCTCAGACCTCACCCCCCACACGCTCCTCAATAAAAAGAGAGTGCTTAGATGGAAACGGATTAACGGTGTGAACATGCAGAATTAGTTTTCTGTAGAGTTTTGCCAGCACCGGAGCTTTACCAGTATCATTTCCTAAGCTCTTGGGTCGCTGATAGAGGCTCTCAAATCTTTTTTCTCAGTTCAGATTAAGGGTCAGGCAAACAATGGTTATTCAGAGCAGCTGTTAAAATGCGACATTCTTGTCCTGCCAACGTTCCACGGAAAAATTAAACAGGCAACTTGTTTTCCAGCCCGAAGCCTGGGACGTGCTTTCTTGTGCCCGAGCTCCGTGCTGCTATTTTCCCCTTTGAAGCTCTTGGGGTCACTTGGGGGGCGGGGGGCGGCAGTGGCAGCCGCTGGGATGCACATGACCTCAGCAGGGGGCAGCTGCAGAGGGGGGCTTGGGCTGGAAAACAGCAGCCCAGAATTTGAGCGCTCCGGCGCGCTTCCCAGCCCACCATAAATCTCATGCTGAGAACATTTTTCCAGCCCTGGAACTGATGATTGGATTGCCGGGGTGGGAGTGCCGCCACTGCCACACTTTGCACATCAGGGTACCAAAGTTAATCCTGCGGGCTGAGGAAGGGGGGGGGCGAAAGGACAAGTAGGGAGGTGGGTAAGGCTTGGCCCCACCAAAGTTGCGGGTCCTTTGCCCCGGAAGTGGAACAAGAGAGGGCTGAAAGGGCGGATGGCCCACGTGGTAGCTTTTCCATATTCTGTGGGGTATCTGATGTACCTGTGTCTCTCTTCATTTTAACCACTTTTGATTTCCTTGATAGATTTTTCATTTTCTTTTGTTTTCTTTTGGATGTTAATTGTAATAACACAGCCTTTTCTCCCCTCCTCCCACGAACCTCTCGCAGGAGACTCCAAAATTCAACCGTCCTCAGCCGGGAGAATCCATAAATAAATCAAACAAACCCAAGAGCCTTGAATATGTTTTTTTTTTCCTTCCTCTCTCTGCTGGTAGTGGTGATTTTTTCCTTCGTAGCTTACGCAGACAGGGCCTTCACTGTGCACAATGCAGTGATTAGCTGAATGTGAGTCCGTAGGATGTAGACAGCTCAGGTAATGCAGGCCGGCTCCTCTTTTTGAAGTCCTGCATCCCAGCACGAGAGAGAGAGAGAGAGAGAGAGAGAAAGAGAGATTCCAATGTTGCTAAATCCTGGTGGTTTTTCTTAAAATCCGCCGAAGAAAACTCTCTTCGCATGGAAGGCTCGCAGTGTGACTCCCTCAGTGTATGTATGACGTGTTCTGTCTTCTTAAATCAGAGCTGAGAGAAAGAAAAAATTCTAAGGGCTTATTTTCTGTTTGCGAGGTAAAGCTGTAGAAAGCGTGCTTTGGATTTGTTGTGTCCACTTTGCCCCTCCCTTCCCACTGCTTTTCCCCTTGCCTGCTGCTTCCACAGCCCACCGCCCAGCGCCTCCCCATAAGGTTTGGCGCCCGGGCCCAGCAAGGCCCCCCCCAACCTGCAGGGGGAGCCAGCCCACCGCGCACGCGGGCCGTTCCCACACGCTTCCGCCGGGGGGACGGAGCACCAGCAAGGCTCTGGTGACCCTTCCGAGGAGGCCGGGGAAGCCGGACGGGCGCTGGGGCAGGAACGATGGTGGGCCGGGCCAGCTTCTCCGTGCCCGGGGAGTTTGGAGGAGAGCTGAGGCGCGAGCGCTGGGGGCAAGGCCAGGTGGGGGTGGGGAGCGGTAGGGCCTCACAAGCCAGGATTAGAAAGTTGAAGCTGACGCAGCACAGCAGGAGGCCCAGCTCCAGCCTAGGGACGCTTCGTGGGGCGAGGGGAGGGGTGCGATGCGCTTCCTCTCCCCAGAAGGCTGCTTTCGCACAGGGTGAGCAGCACGTGGTCACCCACTGGTGATGGGAGGCAGCTCTCACCATCCCTCCCCAGAGGCCAGGTTGGGTGGGGATGATGGGAGCTGGCATCTCAAACCTCTGGAGGAGCGCGCGTGGCCCAGGCCTGATCCAGGTGGAGCTCTGGGGCTCATCAGAGGAGGCAGCAAGCAGCTGCCTTCGAAGACCTAAAGAGGAGGTGATACCCCCGGCTGCGCCCGCTGGCAGGAGAGGCGTCAGGGGCCCCAAGACCTGCAAGTGACAGTTGGGTTGTTACCAGGATTTTTGAGACCCTCAGAGCATCCAGCACCCGCCTGCCTTTGGCTGGTCCTTTTAATGGAAGGTTTTCAGGCCACCCCAAGGCCCCCTTCTCCCTGCCAGTTCCTTCCCTAGCTTTGCATGTGTGGATGGTGCCCGAGGGGCAGGGCTCCCAGTTCCTCTCTGGCTAAGGCCTCCTCCCTCCCCCTTCTTTGTCTGTTTCTGCCCCCCTTCCCTCCTCGCTTGGCTCCCGTCTAGGTTCCGGTCCAAGTATCACCCGGAAGAAGCCGGGCGGAGGAAGCAGGAGGCCCAGAATGCTCTCCAGAACCGGCTCAGCGTCTTCCTCTACTTGATGGACAGTGGCTGGTTTGAGGGCTTGCAGCTGGACATTGACAAGGCCAGCGCCATCATCAAGGTCCTGGATGCCGGTAGGCTTGGTTTCTTCCCTAAAGAGGCGGCTGGCGGGCTGCGCCTGGGGCCGCGCATGGTTCGGAGGGCTCAGGAGGGGGGCCACAGCAGCGCTTTTTGATGGTTGGCCCGCTTTTGGTGGCCGAGGGCCACGCTTCACATTTGGGAGACGCCGGAGTCTGCGGTGGTGGAGGAGAATCCAGATTGGGATGGGGCAGAGGTCAGGTTCCTTGAGTCCCCGGGGCTCGGGGGGAGTGTTGGGGGTCAGGTTTAAAGCTGTGTTGGGCCCATCTTGGAGAATACGTGGCTCTCCTGGATCCCGGTCTGATTCAAGCCTTGCTTCCTCAGCTGTCATTAAGATGGAAGGGGGGACGGACCATGATTTGAAGATCCTGGATCAGGAGGAGGAGGAGGAGCGGCAGGAGAAGGCAGAGCCAGGGAAGAAGGAGGAGAACCGGCTGCCAGAGCAGGACCGGAAAGTCTCCGAGAAGGAGGAGAAGAAAGAGGAGGCCAAGAAGGCCAAGGTTGGCACCGGTGGGAGCTGGACCGGCAGCCCCCGCGCCTTCCGCTCGCCAAGCACAAGCCCAATCTCTGATGCGCAGCCGCCTCTGTTCCAGACTGTCGACGAGGAAGCTGCAGAGGAGAAGGCGAAGAAGGCCTTGGAAGAAGAGGAGAAGAGGGCGGACAAGAAGGAGGAGCCGGACAAGGACGCAAAGAAGGTGCGTGGGGAGGGGTCCCACCCCTCTGCGTGGGCTCCTGATGGACCTGCCGTCAGGTCAACTGGGGGGGGTGCAAGGGAGAGAAGCAGAAGAGGGAGGCCTTATGGGGTGGGGGAGTGGCAGGAATGTGGGGACACACACGCACCCCCCAAGTGTTGTCCAGCAGAGAGGTGGGCTGGTAGCAGCTTGGATTTTGGAGCAGGTTTCAGACCAACATTACCATCGGGGGGGGAGGGGTTTGCCGCCAAGAAGCTTGAGGGTCCGCAGCCCCTGTGTCGTTCTTGGCAGACCAGCCACAAGCACAAGCGGAAGCGCAGCGGGAACGACAGCTATGACGAGGGCAGTGTTTCGGAGTCCGACACCGATTCAGAAAGCGGGCGCCCGCAAGGGGAGGACAAGGAAGGTGAGGAGGGGCTCTCGGGGCGGCCACCCAGTCCCAGCCTTTGCGGGAGGCCTGGCCTTAAGGCGGCTGCTTCTGTGTGGCCGGCAGACAAGAAGCCCAAGGAGGAGCAGACTGCCCCGAAGGATGGGGAGGGGTCTCCCAAAGGCAAGGAGAAAGATGGGGAGGCCAAGCCGCGCGCGCTGCACAAGACCTGCTCTCTCTTCGTGCGCAACATCGCCCCCAACATCCCCCAGGCAGAGATTGTGGCGGTGAGTGTGGCCCTGTGGGAGAAGAGGCCTGGGGAGGCAGGTGGGACGGCACACAGCGGGCAGTGGGGTTTGGGGGTCCGTCTGAACACGCGCACCCTCTTTGCTTCCTCAGTTCTGCAAAAGATACCCCGGCTTTATGAGAGTGGCTCTTTCAGACCCTCAGCCAGAAAGGAGGTAATGGTCATCTCCCCCACCCCCATTTTTAATTTCTGGGCAGGCTTTGTTGAAGCAGCGACGCCGTGCAGAAATTAATTCTTTCAAGGCTACCTCTGCTCGTTTCAGAAATCCAGCCCAGCGGAGAAGCAGCAACTGGCTCGGCTGCCCACGTTTGCTGGATTGTTGCCTGGGGTCTAGAACGGGGCCTTTGGGGGTGCTGTTCCGGGAGGAAAGGGCAGCGCAGGCCCAGCCTGTTGCAGCGGGGGGAGCGGGAGGGACTTGCGTCTCTGGCTGCTGGCCGCACAGTAGAACTTCCCAAGAGTCACGGAGCTGACCGGTCGTTTTCTCATCTCCAGGTTTTTCAGAAGGGGCTGGGTGACGTTTGATCGGAGCGTCAACATCAAGGAAATCTGCTGGAACCTCCAGAACATTCGGGTAAAGGAGAGGGGACGGGGGGTGCCGAGCACGTGGCTGCTGGCTCTCCTGACTGGGCGTTCGGAATCATGCTTGCCTTCCCCGCTTTTCCCCGATGGACAGAGAAGGGAATGAGGTCTGGGGTAGGTCAAGAAGATGCCCCACAGGCCTCCCGTGCATGTGGGGAGGGGGTTGGCAGCCTTAACTGTCCATTCCCACGTTCTCCCCTTCCAGCTGCGAGACTGCGAACTGAGCCCCGGGGTCAACCGAGATCTCACACGCCGGGTCCGCAACATCAACGGCATTACGCAGCACAAGCAGATCTTGCGCAACGACATCAAGCTGGCGGCCAAGCTGATCCACGCCATGGATGACCGCACCCAGTTGTGGGGGGCCGGAGAGGCCCAGCTGCCCTCTGAGGTTTCGGTGAGTAAGGGGCTGCTGACAGAGCCAGCTCTTGGAGTTGCTGGCCTGGGCTTCCAAGGGCAAAGCAGGAGTTGGTGCTTTGAAGGAAGGGCCTTGACAGTCATCCCTGGGCAATGACAGTGACTCTAGCCATGGTGAGGGGCTGCGGTTGTGAGGTTGTGACAGCTGTAGCGGGGCAGAAGTCCCGGAGGATGGGGCCGCCCCTAACCCCTGTGTTCCCCCCACAGAACTTGCCTTCCCAGAATCCCATCCTGAAGAACATCACCGACTACCTGATCGAAGAGGTCAGCGCGGAAGAGGAAGAGCTGCTTGGCAGAAGCGGGGAGCCGTCGGAAGAGCCCCCCAAAGAGGGGAACCCGGCTGAGATCACGGTGGAGAGAGACGAGAAGCTCGTCAAGGTGAGCCCTGCGAAAAGGCTGCTCTGCAGGGGCAGACTTCCTTTTCTCCCGAGGGGTAGGTGGCTGGCCCTCAGCCAGCGAGCTGAGACTCTCCCTCTGGGGCAGTGCAGGTGCTGGACAAGCTGCTTCTGTACCTGCGCATCGTTCACTCGGTGGACTATTACAACACCTCTGAGTACCTCAACGAGGACGAGATGCCCAACCGCTGCGGGATCATCCACGTGCGAGGGCCGATACCTCCCAATCGCGTCACTCACAGGGAAGGTGCGTTGCGTGTCCGTGTTCGAGAGCGCTGGATTCCGTGCTGTGGCCCCAGGGATGTGTGCATTCGTTCTGTTGCTGCTTTAGGAGGGGGTGTCTCGTTCTGCCAAAGGGTGGGGAGGGGGAGGGGGCTGTAGAACCCGGCCCGTGTTTTTGTCTGAAAGACCCTCTGCCTCGCTGGCGGCCAGCCCAGACGGTGTCTTCAGCCAAGAGGGAACCGGGGTCTGAGCCTTGGCGTCTTTCGGATGGGGAAGGCCGACCCTCCCGGCTCTTCCGCCCAGTGGGTTGTGTGGCGCAGTGTTTGGGTTTGGGGGTGAAACCGACTCTTAGCTTCCTCAGACCAGTCCCCAGTCACTCTAGCCCCTGGTCAGAGTGACCTGTCTGAGGAAAGAGGAACAGCGGGATCTGGGAGGACTCTGGACTGCAGGACGGATGGCCCCTTTTGATCCCCTGCTTCAGTGGCTGAGTGGCAGAAGACTTTTGAGGAGAAACTGATGCCCCTGTTCAGCGTCCGGGAGTCCCTCTCGGAGGAGGAAGCTCTCAAGATGGGCAAGAAGGATCCCGAGCAGGAAGTGGAAAAGTTTGTCACCGCCAACACCCAGGAGCTGGGGAAGGACAAGTGGCAGTGCCCGCTCAGCGGAAAGAAGTTCAAGGTGCGCCTTTCCCGCCCCCTTTCCCCCAGGATTGGGGCCTGTCTGACTGGCAAGGAGGCCTGGTTCCTGACCCCCTCTCCACTGCCAGGGCCCCGAGTTTGTGCGCAAGCACATCTTCAACAAGCACGCAGAGAAGATCGAGGAGGTGAAGAAAGAGGTGGCCTTCTTCAACAACTTCCTCATGGACGCCAAGAGGCCGGCCCTGCCCGAGCTCAAGCTGAACCAGCCGCCAGTCCCCGGACAGGGTGAGCGAGGAGGAAGGAGGGGGTCGGGTCCCTGTCAGAGCCTTGGGGGGAGGGAGACCCGGCCTCCAGACCTCTCCAGCAAGCCCGCAGCTGGACAATGCAGCCGCTCCCTCGCCACGTGCTGCAGACCAGGACGGTGGCCAGGAGCAGGCGTGAGAAAACGGCCCGCTACGTCCGGCTGCTCCCCCCACCTTCGGTCCCTCTGTCTCCGGTTCACTTTTCCGTCCCAAACGGAGGCTTTGGCACCCTCCGCCTGCTGCTGGTCCTCTCCCGAGGGTCCAATGGCTTCCTTGCTCTTCCTCTGCCCTCCTCAGGCCTGGCGCCAGGGTTACCCTACCCACCGCAGGCCCCCCAGGGACTGATGCCCTATGGACAGCCGCGCCCGCCCATCCTGGGATACGGAGGTACGTTGGGTATCTCTCCTCCCGGCGGTTCCTGGGCAGCGAAGGCAGGGCTGGTCCCTCGGAGGTGCTGGGGCCTGCAGGCTGCCTGGTCCTCCCACCCGGGAGGGTGCTCCTGGCGTCCTCCGGAGAGGCTGGGCTCCCCATCCAGGGCCCCTGCAGTGCCACCCAGCCCATTGAGGGCCCTGAGCTGGGGAGGGCTGGGGGTGGGCTGGGGACCCCAAGGTCCGATCTGCAGATGTGTATTGCTTGGTGGAAAGACGGGTCTGCAGTCTCCATATATTATTGGCTGAGTCCAGAGGAGGCCACGGGCACCTTGAGCATCTGCCTCTCTCATGGGCCCCCCCTTGGCCTCTTCCAGGTGGTCCTCCATATCCTCCTGCTCCATATGCCGCCGGGAGGGGCAACTATGACACCTTTCGCGGGCAGGCCGGATACCTGAATAAACCACGGAACAGGTAGCCAGACAAGCCTTTCTGTACGTGGGGCTGGGCCGCCTCTCCTGAGTCCCAGACCGGAGGGGAGGGGGAAGGGCAGGGCAGGGCAGGCCCCTTGCCCACCTGTGGCCTCTCTTTAGGATGGTTCGAGGGGACCCGCGTGCCATTGTAGAGTACCGAGACCTGGATGCTCCCGAGGATGTTGACTTCTTCTGAGCCCCACCAAGTTGGCTTCAAGTCCCCCCCCAGCTTTTTTTTTAAGGACGCTGCATCCTGCTTGCCCTCCCTGTGTGTGTGAAGCCACCGCCTCCCCCAGTTCTGGGCCCATGTTTTTGACACGTCTACTGATTTTATGTGTTTAGTTGTAATTGGATTTCAATAAACCCCCTGAACACCGTTTTCCAGTCTCAGTGCTGTTCTCTCACCACATCCTAGCAAAGTGCAGGTGGCGGCGCTTGGGACAGCCCCCTGGCCTCTCCCTCTCCCCACAGGGTGCTGACCAGCGACGCCTTGAGCCCTTGGGAAGTTTGCCACTGAGCTGGTGCGGCTGTGCGCCTCTCACGTGTGGAATTTGGACTAAGAATTGCAGATGTCCCCCTTCCCTGGGGGCACTGGAGCATCTGGGCATTTTCCTTGCTTGCTCGTACATGATGGTCTGGAGGCCTATGAGTACTTGCCTGCGTGCACACACATGCATACACACTTACACTTGCCTGGGAGACCTTTTAATAACAGAATACGGTGAACTGCTTGAACAGGCTTTGAGAAACTGAGGCTCGGGGGGCAAGAGCTTGAAGCTCTACTGAGGAAGAGCCAAACGGCAAGGGCAACGGCGTCGTCATCAAGGGGCGCCTTTCCTGGACTCCAAGATGGAAGCGCAGGCTGCTGGCTCGAAATCTCGTCTGAGTCAAGAAAGGGGTGTTGGTGGGCAGAACTCTCGGCTGTTTTCACTCGGGCCTCCCCTCGACGGAGGCGCGGAGCTCCTGCCAGACTTGCTCCATCCTCTCCATGGGGATGCTGTGGACGACCAGGGACTGCTGGTAGATGGTGAGGTGGTCCTGCGCGGGCTCCCAGGCCCGGAAGTGCCCGCTGTGCTGGTGGGGGAGCTCGGCGGCCAAGGCCAAGAGGCCCCAGTAGGCGCCGCTGAGGGGGAAGGTAGGGAGCTGGGCCGAGGCCCGGTAGAGGGCGGGCAGGGCAGGGCCGGGCACGACAAAGCCCTCTTCCGAGGCAAAGTGGGGGTAGCGGCCCGAGGGGAACAGGAGGAGGGGGACGGCGTCCCGCCCGATCCGCTTCACGGCAGGGTGGAACTGGATGTTGCCATGGATGAAGTGGGAGGCGTTGGGCGTCTGCCGGAGGAACCCGGTCAGGGCTGCTGCGTTCACAAACACCCCGTCCTCTCCTGCAAGGCAAGGCCGCTGGCTTGGGGCTGCCGTTTCCCAGGCGCTCCCGTTCCTAAACCTCTGGATGTGCTGCAGACCCGGCGCAAAGAAGGAGGCGGGTCCTGCCGCCCGGGCCTCTGTCCCCAACCCCCACC